TTGAAGGCTGCAGTGTCAGGTACAGTACCAGTCCCAGCCGCCTGCCTGTGAGGTCGGCTCAATTGTTAGCCAGAAGAACAAACTGAGGCAGACAGACATCAAGCAAATGGAAAAACTGCGACAGACAGCTGCTTCAGACTGATTCACAAACCTACACTTCTTCCTTGCCCCTCACAGCCATTTGGCCCTGGTCACATCCTCTTGGGGCTAAAAGCATGGATTCTGGGGTGCCACTGTCTGGCTGAATTCGGGCTCCACACTTAACTATCAGTGACACAGGAAATTATTGATCTTCTAGGGCTTCCAGTTCCTCATCTGGAGATTTAATAAAAGGAGCAGCTTCACGCAAGTTAATGCTCATAAAATGCTTAGGGCATACCTGGGTACACAGTCAGAACTCAATAAATGCTGGCTGTGTTCCAGGTACTAAGAGTACAAAGATCGTCGATGAGAACCCCAGCAGGGTTCATAGTCTGCTGCGGGATTACAGGGCAGAGTGGCACGTGAGACTGTGGTGAGAGCAGGAGGGCGGTGTCAGTGGTGCCCAGATATTCAAACTCCAGGATTCACATTCTAGAAGGCAGAGCCCATTGCTATTTCTTTATTATTTTTTGGTACTGGGGATTGAACCCAGAGGGGTTTTACCATAGAGCCACATTTTCAGCTCTTTTTATTTTTTATTTTGAGACTGGGTCTTGCTATGTGGCTGAGGCTGGCCTCAAACTTGTGATCCTCCTGTCTCAGCCTCCTGAGTTGCTGGGATTACAGGAATGCCCCACCATGCCCAGCCTCATTGCCATTTCAACTGGCCTGGGAAGCTGGAGACAGGGCTACGTACCCAGCTACTTCAAGGAGGTTGAAGCCCACTTGAACCCAGGAGTTCAAGGCCAACCTAGGCCACACAGTGAGAGCCCATCTCAAAGAAAAAAAAAAGTATATATAAATAATTTTTCCAGTAAATAAACTGTGAGCAAAGAATAGAATTGGCTGCGAGGTGGGTACCCTGCAGGTCTGCTATATTTGCCAATAACAGAAATTAGCCGAGTCCTGAGTCCTGAGTTCCTATCTCCCCCAGCATCACCATGGGCAAGCTCTGAGTGTATCTGTGACACAGGGATGGAGTGCAAAGAAGAGAAAGGTCCCCAACTCAGGCTTCCTCTATGACCCTGGGAAACATGTTTTGGGAAATTTTGTTTTGTTTTGTTTTGTTTTTGCAGTACTGGGGCTGGAACCCAGGGCCTCACACGTGCCAGGCAAGCTCTTTGCCACTGAGCCACGTCCGCAATCCCACACACTTATTTCTAAGTTGACCTTCATGTGACCTAATGAGTGCCATTCTCCAGAAGTGACAGCCGAGCCTGCAGTTGAATGGTAATAATGACCAAGACCAGAAAGTGTCCTTCTCCTTGGACTCTCAGAGTGTAGTGCCTGGAGGAGGAGGGTATCTGAAGGACAGAGGACTGGGCTGAGGACAGGCTAAGGGGCCAGCCCAGCTGATTCCTCTGGGACACTGGGGCTGGCCAGCCACTAGCCTCTTGCCTCTCGCACTCTCACCTGCCTGGCCCAGTCCTACCTGACCAATCTCATGACATGTGAGGCTCCAGCCCTAGGGTCAGTTCATCGGCTCTTAAATTTCTAAAGACAAGCTGGGTACAGTGGTGCATGTCTGTAAACTAAGTGACTCGGGAGGCTGAGGCAAGTTGGAGGCCATCCTGGGCAACTTAGCAGGACCCTGTCTCAAAATGGCTGGGGTGCGGATGCAGCTCAGGGTGAAGTGCCCTTGAATTCAATCCCCAGTACCAAAAATAAATAAATAAATAAATAAGTAGGTGATGACAAGTTCCAGTAAGGAGGTGACAGATTGGAATCCTTACATACTGCTAATAGGAAGGCAAATTGGTACAGACACTTTGGAAAGCAGTCTGGCATTTCCCCAGAAGGGCAAATAGAGTTGTATGTTCTAGCAATTCCATTCCTAAGTAGACACCCAAGAGAACAAAAACTTATGTCCACATGAAAAGTTGTACATGAATGTTCATAGCCTTGTTTATAGTAGCCCAAAAGTGGAAACAATCCAAATGTCCATAAATGACGAATGGATAAATAAAATGTGGTATGGCCATACAGTGGAATATTACACAGCATTAAAAAGGAATGTAATACTGATACGTGCTACACTATGGATGAGCCACTGGTGTAAAGAAAGCCAAGACACAAAAATCACTCACCGTAGGAGTCCATTTATAGGGAATATCCAGCTTAGGGAAATCTACAGAGACTGGAAATGGGTGAGACTGCTGGGGCTGGGAGTGTGGAGGGCTGGGGGTGATAGCTGGGAGAGTGCAGGGTTTCTTTATGGCTGATGAAAATGTTCTATTGGTAGCTGTAATGATGGTTGCAGAATTCTGTGAATTCACTCACAACAATTAAATGTACTTTTTTTTTTTTTTTTAAGCACTGGGGATTGAACCCAGGGGTGCTTTCCCATTGAGCCACATCCCCAGCTCTTTTTTATTTTTGCTTTTGAGACAAGATCTTGCTAAGTTGCTTGGGGCCTCACTAAGTTGCTGAGGCTGGCCTAGAACTTGCAATCCTCCTGCCTCAGCTTCCCAAGTCACTGGGATTACAGGTATGCACTACCACACCCAGCTCATTAAATGCACTTTAAATTCATGGACCGTATGGCATGTGAATTATATCTTGATGAAGTTGTTTTCTTAACCTTTGGTCTAGTCAGGAAGAGCTTCTGAGGAGGTGATATTTGAGCTTCTCTTTTTATAATTGGCTCAAAGGTCTCAAACAGTAACTGGTGACATTTTACTGAACAAAGAACTTTGCAACCACTACCTCATTGAATCTTCATAAAAGCCTGATGGGTTATGTACCGACAATCACATTTAATAGATGAAGAAACCCAAGCACACAGAGAAGTTAGGTGATTTTCCCTAGGTCACAAGGCCGATAAGTTCCAGAACTGGTATGCAATCCCAGGTATGCCTGACATCAAAGCAGGCGCCCTTTGCCACTGAGCCATCCTGTGAACCATTACCTGTCTGTTCTCTGAATTCCTGATCTTTCTCAGATTAGGAGGGTGACCTAAAGCAGAATGGAAGGGACCAGCCAAGCTTAGAGGAAGGTAGGGAAGCCAGGCCAGGTATAGAGAAGAGTGGGCTGAGAGGTGTCTCTGGCCTTAGGGTGGCCAACACACTAACTCGGTTGTTCCCTAACAGCAGTCACCTAGCTCAGGAAGTGGGAGAGGCTTATTTAAAAGCAGACTCTTAGCATGCATGGTGGCATGTGCCTGTGGTCCAGCTACCTGAGAGGTTGAGGTAGGAAGACTGCTTGAGCCCAGGAGTTCAAGACCAGCCTGGGAAACACAGCAAGACCCCTGTCTCAAAAATCAACAGCGGACTCTTGGGCCTCACTGCCAGAGGTTCTGATTCAGGAATCCAGTGTCAACAAGCTCTGTGGGAGATTCTGGAACAGACAGATGGTCCAGGGACACACTGTGACCTGTCCAGCATAACTTCAGGCCAGCACAAGAGTCCTCTGGGCAGACACCTGCTCCCCACCAGGCTTGCCCCTCCCTTCCTGACATCCATGTTGTTCCTCTCACCCTTCTCCCGGGGTCCCAGCAAGTGTGACAGGTCTCCAAGCTCTGCTCCTGCTCTTCTCTCCATCCCTGGTTTTCTTGTCCCCTTGTCCCCTGTCCCCGCAGAGGCCTCATGGCCTCTTCCCCACCTTATCTTTCATTGCTGCCTGACCTTGAGCAGGTGGATTCCTATATCTCTAAAATGACAAGCACTCTCACGCCAGGCACCGTATTAATTTATGCATACTATTAGTATCCCTATTTTATAGTTTCAGAAAATGAGGTAAAGAGGGATTAAGAAATGGGTCCAGGTTTGCCCAGCTAGAAATTGCCAGCACTTGGATTTGAACTGAGGCCTCAGGTTCTGAGGGGTGTGTGTGTGTGTAGCTACTGAGAATTGGACCCAGGACCTCACACATGCTAGTCAAGTGCTGTACCCCTGAGCCACATCACCAGCCCCAGATCCAGAGTTCTCAGTTGTCATGCCATACTGCTGCTCATTGCCATGAGACTCATAGACCAAATATCAAGACCAGCGCACAGGGCCTGGCATGTGGTGGGTGTTCAGTAAATGCTGGAAACTGAATTGAGTTGACAGTTTCTATATCCAGAGTGGGGAAAATTATCCAAAGACTTGACACGTCACGATGTCTCATGCTCTTTATTTAATAAGACTCAACATCTTAAGGTCTCTATTGAGAACAGGATGTAAAAAAAAAAAAAAAAAATCCAGAAAAAAAAATGAGAATGCTGTTCTACTCAGAGAATGGTGGTGGGTCCAAAGCCTGTCGATCTGCGTGAGTGGAGTGATCAGGAGTTTCAACCTCAGAACATTAACATGGGGCAGGGATATTGGGGGAGAAAGAAGGCTGCGGGGTAGTCAATCCAGTCCCCACCATCCCATTCCCTTATCCCTACCTTCTGAGTTTCTCTCCAAGTCACTGGACTACTCATGGATGACAGGGAAAGGAGGATGTGGTAGAAGACATTCTTGGGTATTATTTTCTTTTTGGCAGTGGGGGTTGAACCTAGGTGCGCTTTACCACTAAGCTGCATCCCCAGCCCTTTAATTTTTTTTTTATTTTTTTTTTTTTGAGACAGGATCTCACTATGTTGCTCAGGGCATCACTAAAATTGCTGAGGCTGACTTTGAACTTGTGATCCTCCTGCCTCAGCCTCCCCAGTGGTGGGACTACAGGTGTACGCCATCACCGTGCCCAGCCTGGATATGGTTTTCTAATCAAGAAGCTACAGGGGATGGAGACTCCTCCATCCTGGCTCCAAATTCTCTTTCAATTCAGGCCATTAATCTTATCCTTCACTGAGCCCCCATAACAAATTTCAGATAGACGCGGAAGCCTTCCCTCTGGGCCCAGGGTCTTTTCTACAGAGTCAGAGAGTTTCTCACCTGAATCCGGTGGGTCATGTGTCTTTCAACCCCGGGAAGAACCACGAAAATATGAGGTCAGGGGAAGTCTTCATTCAGTCCTCTCGCCTTTCACCCAGTGGCCCAGCTTTGGGTGGCTCAGAAGTCAAGACTCAGGAAATAGAATAATTCTATTGATTGACCCAAGAGATCATGAATCAACCCAGTTCCCAGGGGAGGAGGGACAAAAAAAGAAAAGTTTAAAAGACAATCCCAACGGAGTCACAGGACCCAAAAGACTGAACAAGAGTCGCCACCTAATGAGACTCGGAGGCCCTTCGGACATGGACCACTTTCTGGAACGCGTGGCGGAAGTCTTCATTGAACACGGTGTAGACGATGGGGTTGATGAGCGAGTTTAAATAGCCCAGCCAGGTGAAGAAGTCAAAGAGGGCCGGGTGGAGCCAGCAGGCGTCCCGGCAGATGGGGAGGACCAAGGAGGCCACGAAGAAGGGCAGCCAGCAGACGATGAAGGCCCCCAGAATGATCCCCAGCGTCTTGGTGGCTTTCCTCTCCCGAGCAGCAGAAATCCTCTTGCGCTCCAGGACGCTGTCGGCGAGCCTGACCTTCACGTGGTTGAAGAAGAGCGGGGAGCCGGCCGCGTGCGAGTGGCCCTCGTGGAGACTGGGGTTGAGCGAGCAGAGCGAGGAGCCCGCGGAGCCCGCGATGAGCTGCGCCGTGGTGAAGCGCTTGCCGTGGAGCGAGGGCGGGTTCAGGATGCGGCTCCGGGCGGCCAGGTAGATGCGGCCGTAGAGGATGATGAGCAAGACGGACGGGATGTAGAAGGCCCCGCAGGTGGAGTAGATGGTGTAGGAGATCTGAGACGTGTTCACCAGGCAGTCGGACATCTCCTCCTGAGCCTTGGCCTGCCGCCAGAAGAGGGGTGGGATGGAGATGCAGATGGAGATGACCCAGACCACGGCGATCATCGCAGCCGCGTGGCCAGCCGTCCGGCGCTTACTGTACTCCAGGGCGTCGGTGATGGCCCAGTACCGGTCCAGAGCGATAACGCAGAGGTGCAGGATGGAGGCGGTGCAGCACGTGATGTCAGAAGACACCCAGATGTCACACAGGATTTGGCCAAAGTTCCAAGTGCGGGTAATGGTATAGGCGATGCTGATGGGCATGACCAAGATGGAAACCAGGAGGTCGGTGGTGGCCAGGGAGCCAATGAGATAGTTGGCCGGGGTGTGCAGCTTTCTGGTGTGCAGGATGGTGGCCAGTACAAAGGCGTTGGACAGCAGGGTGGCCAGCGTGATGATGGAAAGGACCACGGCCAGGGAGATCTTGAGCACCTGGAGGATCCCTGGATCCCAGGCCTCCGAGGTTTCCGTAGTGTTCAGGGATCTGTTGGAGGCCTCCTGGGGAAAGCCTTCTACTGACTGGTTGGGCGGGGCCATGCTAGGTGGCTCGCTCTCCTTGCAGACTTCCACACACAAGGCTCCTTCTTTCCCAGTCGCCTGGCCTACAGAGTAAGGTCATCTTTTGGCTTCATGCTGGTAGGGGCCATCCATCAGAACAGACCACCTTGAAAGGACCTGCAGACTTGGCTAGAACACCAAGGCCAGGTGCAGGGGTGCACCCCTGTAATCCCAGCAGCTTGGGAGGCTGAGGAAGGAGGATCGCAAGTTCACAGCCAACCTCAGTAACTTAGTGAGGCCCTATACAACTGAGTGAGATCCTGTCTCAAAATAAAAAAAAATAAATAAAAAGGGCTGGGAGTGTGGCTCAGTGGTTAAGCACCCCTGGCTTCAACCCCAGAACCAAAAAAGAAAGAAAGAAAAACCAAATCGACTCCCAGCTGGTAGTTATAGGTTTTTCCTAAAACAGATGAATCCCGACATGTCTGGCCATTCTGGAACCTTGCCTAGCAGATGGTACAGCCCAGTGGACACATGCTGAATTTGTTAGACAATGATCAGGGTCTCACAGAAGTGTGGGCAGGGCTCTGGGATTCTAGCTTTTGGCATTTTGGCTCTTTGCAAAGCTGGAGACATCAATGTGTTGAATAAAAGCTTCAAAATGTCCCCATCCCTGATCAGAGAAGGTTCTGGATTTCAGGTTGTTGCCAGGAGTTTTTAAAACTAGACTCAAAAAGAAGCACCCGCTGAGTCAGAGAGACAGTAAATCAGCCGCTCAGTTCCCCCAGATTGATCTTGACACATCCTGAGGGACGCTTAGCTTTGGTTCTGGTTCCACTGAATGTTTTGAGCCTGAACAGACAGAACATTCCGGTTACCAGGACAGAAGAATGCAGGAGCAGGAAGTGGCGAAACACACGGATCGGATCGCTGTGGGTTCATCCAGAGGGCCGCACGTTCAGGAGCTCTGGGCTTTAAAAAAGAAAGAAGTGAAGAGTTAGGTTCTAGAAGGACAATTCTGAAGGCTGAAATTATCAGGTAGAAGGACACTGTCTCTAAGGCTGGCAACAGTGACCTGAAACTGCCTTTTCAAAGGTGTCAGAGCAGAGGGTGATAGGCCCACCCCCAGGATTCCCACAGGGGACAAGGTATCACAGAGCTGGAAGTATCACAGGCTTGTTGCAAGTATGAGAAATCAGTTCTCTAAATCATGAATCAGAAAGAATCAGAAAACATCCTTCTATTTACTCAGCAATGAAAACAAGCCAAACCAAATTGTGACAGGGAGAGAAACAAAAGCCACCAGAAAAAACACCAGCTCGCCACAATGTATTTCTCAAGGGAGTGTATGTGTGTGTGTGGGGGGGGGTGACATTTTTTATATTCATTTGAATTTTCCAAATTTTCTGGAGAAGCATGAATGACCCTTAGAACAAACAAATAAACAGTCAAAAAAATAACAGAATACTTTTTTGATAAGCAAAGACGTGAATTGCAAACATTTAAATCCCTGGGCATTTTTGTGATGAAAGTTCAATTCCAGAAAATACATTTGAATTTTTTTTTGGGCCGGTTGGGTACTAGGGATTTAACCCAGGAATGCTTGACCACTTTAGAATTTATCTACACACGCTTGAAAACATTTGATCATTAGGATTATATATGAATTTGTTTCATGGTTTGAATATTTTTCAACAACGTATCTCAAAGATTCCATCCATCACCCACTCCCACCACATCATCCTTTTCTTTTTTACCCCCTGATAATGGGGATTGAACAGAGGCACTTTACCACTGAGCTACATTTCCAGATGTTTTTATTTTTTATTTTTATATTTTTAAAAAGTTTTTAGACAGTCTTCCTAAATTGCCCAGGCTGCCCTTGAACTTGGAATCTCCTGCCTCAGCCTCCTAAATTGCTGGGATTGCAGTCATGCGCCACCATGTCCAGCCTCACCTCATTCTTAAGAACAACATCTTGTTCCTGGCTAAATTCAGGAAAAGTCTGGTAGTCAGAGTTGGGAAGGCTGGCATTCCTGACAGTTACAGGGCAAGAGCAAAGCCCCAGAAGTCAGAAAGGGCCAGGTCTGGCCAAATGACCATGCTGGCTGAAGTGTAAAGAGCAGAGAAGCCAAAAGAGCTGAGACGCAGGACCCAGCTGGTGCAGGGAAGGGGCAGGGAGGGGCTGGGGAGGCGGCAGGGCACAGGGAAAGTCTGCTTTGGGCTGGGACCACCTGGGCTCTAATCTCTGCTCTCCAGACTTACTGTGCAGCCTTGGGAAAATCCCTTCTCCTCTCTGAGTCTCAGGTTTCCTTCCCTGAACAATGGCCAAACAGTGGCCACCCAACCTGCCTCCCAGGGATGCTGGGAACTTACACTGCTCCTGGCAAGGCCGGTCCTGGGTACCCAGTAAAGAGCTGAGCAATGTCAAGAATCATTACTGTTGTACCCCCTGAGCTCAGCTCAGGGCTTTGTTAGGAAGGTCAGTCTGTCTGGATGGATTGATTTGAAAACATTCAGAAGCTAAATCTGCAATGTGATATTCTCTCCCATTTCTCAATCTTGTGGGTGCTTCATCTTAAAGATATATCCTCCTGGAGAAGGGATACAGCTTCAATGTAAGAAAACTCATTCTTAGCTATCAACCCCAAAACATATCCCAAAATTTGAAA